GTTCAAAAGGGCGGAGAGATGGGACAGATGAATGGAGAGAGGAAATGTGGGTGAAAACAGTTGTGATATTTAACGTACATATGTGAAAATGGAACCACTTAAAGTGAAGGGAAAAGTGGGGTTGGAAGAGAGGAGGAGCGTGAGGAAAGGGGTGACACGGATGCACTGTACTCACAAACTGACATGTTGATTTGAAACCCCTTTGCACACCTACTTAAAATACAAACTGCTTTAAAATATAGATAAAAATGATTGCTACCGCTTTAGACACATTCACATTAGAGTACCATAAAGTTCTTAGCCAGGTGCTTGTGGCTCACACCTATAATCCTAGCTACTCAGGAGGCTAGGATCTAAGGACCAAGGTTCAAAGCTAGCCCAGGTGAGAAAAGCTTTGAGACTCTTATCTCCAATTAAGCACCAAAAGAGAAAGTGGTAGAGAACAGTAGCCTTGAGAAAAATAGCTAAAGAACATTGTCCAGGCTTTGAGTTCAAGCCCCAGGACCAGCAAAAAAAATTAATATGTGTGTGTGTGTGAGTCTTTCTTTACAACATGAACAGAAACTTTAAGCCATTGTGTTATCATAAGCCAAACCCAGGGACAAATACCTCAGGATTTTGCATATTGCTCATATGCAGAATCTAAGCAAGTGCTCCTCATATAAGCTGAAGGTGGAACAGTGCTTCCCAGACGCAGGGGAGAGGGAGAGGAGGAGACATGATGATGGCACTGAGCTGCAGTTAAATAGGAGTAAGATGTTCTACTACTTGGTACTGCTACTGCTTGGTACTGAGAGCAGAAATAATGATCACGTGTTTTAGAGCTCAACAAAGTTGAACAGATTTTGAATGTTTTTATCACATGTAGGTAACAAATGTTCAGGGAGATAAGTAGGTTTATCCTGACTTGAACATTATACAACACAAACATATATCAAAACACCGCACAATATCCCATAAATACACGTCACCTCTGTGTATCCAGGGTAGAGAATATTTTGAAAGCAATCTAGGAAATGTTTGTGATGCTCATTTTGATAAGAGAAGGCAGACTATTGACTGAGAAAGTGTCTGTGGACAGCAACCTGAATGTAAGAAGCTGGCTCTTATAAGCAAACGCACAGAACAATATCGATGAGCTCAGAATCTAAAAGGAGAATATGTTGGTGTGTTGGGAAAGAGAAGAAAGGTCAATGTGGCTGGACTACAGTGATAAAGGAGAACTAAGAAGCAGCAATGGAAAGACGTAGGATGTTTTAGGTGATAGGAAGAGAAATTTTACTGTACTGGCATCAAATAGGTTGAAGCTCAAGCTCACACGACTTGATTAACCACCGAAAAGACTTGTCTGCTGTTGCACAGGGACTGGCTTGTGTGGAGACCAAAGCTTTTATACTTTGAGTTGAATATATTAGCTGGTTCTCAACTGAATCTCTGAGAAGACTTCAGAGATAAAATAATCACATGACAAGAAAGGAAGAAGCCTCTCTACTCTCCTCATTCCCTAGCCACACCCAACAAGGGTGAATAAATAAGCCAGGTGACTAGACATGACTGTAAATTAGGTGGGAACACTAACCCACCTTTGGTGAAAACACGTGAGCCCTCAAGCCTGAAATGGCTAAGTTCTTTTTACGACAGAGGTCTCCCAAATGAATGGGGCCAGCTACACAGGCCTGAGATTCTCTAGAATATATGTCCGCTACCTCTCCCCAGCTCTCGGAGCTATCCAGGGTGCTGGATGATCTTGCCCTAAAGCTTGGTAAGGGCCTGAGGACCAGGCTCTCAGCCAGGTTAGATCTAAGGCCCTCACTATGTTAAACCGTAGCCAGATTCTACCCTGACACCATGGCCCTCCTTGCTCTCAGCTAACCTGAGAAGAAACACCTGCTCTCATTATGTCTGTTTGGTCTAATGTTGAGCAACTTCTGCATACATACCAGATTGAAAACAAAATGGTAGCATCGTTAGAGCTGTGCAGATAGGTTAGGGTCCCTCTGTGTGTTGTGGCCTTCAGAAATAATGATATGTGAGAAGCAATGAGCTCAGCAGGTTCCTTTTTTTCTTTGCACTATTCCTCAAAGGTAACATCTGACTGCTGAGCTTACAACCAGATTGGCTTATACAATTCAGTCAGTTTAGGGTCTCTCTCTAAAGACACAAATCTATGCCTCCAATAATTTAAAAAAAATCAATAAAATACAGAATTTCATCCTGACTCCTATAGGAACCTTGACTTTGCTTCTTAAGAAGTACATTCAACTGAAGTCTATTACTCAATTTTTCAAGTAATCAACTTTGTACATTAAGTAGTGGATGGAAATCTGTATGCTTTCAAGTCAAACACTTTTCCTCTTCAACCAAAACACTTAGAACAAGAGAAGACTCTTCTATATTCTCATTCTAGCTCTCTTCCTAAGTAACAAGAGAAACAGCATCTCAGAACTTTCCACCTACGTGTCAGACTCTTCACTGTCCTTACATGGCTTTGAGGGTCAGTGTGATTTACAAAGAGCCACAGGAGTTCAGGACAACTTCTCAGTTCCAGGGTACTAAGACTATGATGAGAAAATGGGACTAAAAACCCTTAAACTGACTCTGGGATGTTACCTTTTATAATCATTAAAAAAATGAAACATATGGCAAAGACAAGGAATTGGTAACTTTACTTTGACACAGTCTAAGACTGAATATATAGGCAAGTCATGCCATTGGTTCATTTAATGGTAAATCAATTTCATTAATTTTCATTCATATTCTCCTTTTCCTCACCTGTTCAACATATGACTGAACACACATGTTTTTCTCTACCTTGCTCTTCAGATTTACTTTTAGTAAACTGGAGATGGAATTAATTGCATAATGGAGTTTCAAAGATTTTTCAAATACCCATCTTCCAGATCGTAGCCTTTAAAGAAGCTAGGATTACAGGCATGAGCTGCAGTGCCTGAATGCTATAATAACTTCTTTCAATCTCTATAATCTTATGTACAAAATATTTTCTTCTCTTATATTCATCTATTATGTTCCTTATATTTTTACCTGGTGGTACTTTGTCTTTTCCAACTTATTTTCTAATTATGTCATGAGAACATACTTCTGCTTTCCCAAATAAACTTCCCAAATAAATTCTGGATCTTGTGGCATTAAGGATTATGTCTTGCATATTTTTCAATTTCACTGGCAACATCTAGGTAGATGCAAGGTTTTCAGTAAACTATAAATAAACAAAACTTTGGGTCTTAAAACCACATATTTTCCTACAAATAATGGTGTTTAAATAATAAACATCTTTAAAATTAGCAAATTATAGTCACATAGTAAATAAAATTATTCTGGCAAAGAGCCACTATCATCTAGTTGCATATTACTATGGCTTCTTTTTGGCCACAGCGACAAAGCTGAGAGCTAACACACAATGCATACCTCGCACAAGCTAAAATAGTTGCTTTATACAAAAGCTTTGGGGATCACAGCCCTAAATCACCCTTTATTTGGGAGAGAACTACACTTCAGGTAAATGGCCTGTCAAAGTGTATGATTTAATCTATTCGGTAATCATAATTGAACCTATTCATTAGTCATATCAGAATCATAAACTTTTCTCACCACCAGATCAAATGCTTAGTGATATTATAAAGTCAAATATATGATAAAACCAAAAAATTAAAGTATATGTCAAAAAATACCTCTAAGGGCCTTAAACTAACCTAAACCAAGTCTAAATTGTATCTTTTCTGAATTAAGATAGCATCAGCCAGAAAAATTAATAGTGTCACACACATTTACTACAGAGAATATCATTATTTTTCATAAAAACACCAACAAAGAAGTCTAATCCTTCTAACTGAATTCTCAAAGATGTTGAAAGCAGTAAGTGTCAAAGAAAATGCTTTTAAAATGGATCATATTGACCTCGCAGGCTATTCTATTAAGATATGAACGGCTTTAAAAAAAAATAGCACTGGCAATGGAAGAAAAAAATACATAGTTTGTGCCAACCCGTTTGTGTCCAGCAGCAGGGCCGTAAAGAGCCACCTCAGAAAGTTCCCAAAAACCACTCCTTCCACCCATGTCTAATGTCCTTCAGACTCTTGTTTTCCAACAAATTCCTCAAGTCTAGATTGGTATGGAAAGAATCACACAAAAACTCCCTCACATGTAGTCTTAGTATTTATATGCCAAGCTGAAAAAGGAATAGGAACAGGGGGAGAAATACTCCACTATTAAGACCTAAATAAATAAATAAATAAAAACCTCAACTGCCATCAGACCTCTGGTCCTGGGACACAAAGGATTTTAACATAGATCCTGGATGTAGGGGAGAAAAAAACCCTGTCTTTTTCCAAGGATATCTCCCATAAACGCAGCAATGAAGATATTCCTGGGATGAAAATCTGATATAGCTGGAAGTCTATCGGAGTAGAACAGTGGGTTGCTATAGCTGGGCATTTAACAACTACTGGGTGCAGATGATACATAGCCCTTTTTAATGTCATCAGACATTAAAGCTGCTCATGTTAGCAAAAGGTCATGTCATCCACGAGACAAGAAAAAGAGAGGGAGCAGAAGAAGAGAACACACCAAATAAGAATCAGATCCGGAGCAAAGATCAGGACAGAATATTCATGTAGACAAGGCTAAGGCAGAGAGATAATTACCCACAGACACTACCACAGCATCTCAATGAAGCAGAAGGGTGAGGGTCCATCTCTCATCTCTCAATCAGGCCAGAGACATTTCTTTTTAGACCACAGAGACTGCTACTGAAATCTCCTTTGATAGAATTTGCTCAAGACTCTCCAGAGCTTGTGGAGAGGAAGAAGCAGCCAAGTGCAGCTGCCCTGGTGTCGGTCAGCAACTTCTCCTAGGAGTCTCACTTACTCACATTTCTACCTTGCTGGCTAGATTACTGTTTAGTACAGGTGACTGATCATATGGTCCTTCCGCTTGTGGAGTCAGAATAACAATAATAATAGAATACGTTGTTTTCAACACACTATTACCTTGGATACTTCTCTTGAAGAAGGCCTTACAGCCTTCACAGGACCAGACTCCATAATGGTAGCCGGAGGCGTAGTCATTGCACACCGCGCAGTAGCGCGTCTCCTTGGCAGACTCCATTGCCAAGTTTCCCTTGTCGCTGCTGCTGCCCAGTCTCTCTCGGCTGCTCTGCCGTCGATTATCTGAACTTGGCCTGTAGGGGAAGATAAGAAAAATGGAGGGGGGGGGGGAGAAAAACAACAACCAATGAGTCCATTAGCATTAGAAAAGCAAATCGTGCACTTTCTGAAGAATGAGAGACCTGGGAGATGGAGCAGATCCACTTTATTCTGACATTTTGAAATGATGAATCATAATGTAAGCTAATCTGTCCTTACCTCTTACCTTCTGTTATGGCAAAAGGTGTTTGCCTGTTCTATTAACCTTGAGGAAGAACTGTTGATTGAAACTTGCTCATGAAATGGACTGTCTACCCCAGAATCTATTACCTATAAAATGACAAAAATGAAAGCCGGTTTCTCCCAGCCTTCTTCATTTTCTAAGGAATCCACACTTAATTCAGAAACATTAGAAACCAATGCTTATTCCAATGCTGGACCACACCAAGGGTCGTTAGGAAATAGAGACAAAGCAGAAAACAGCTGCTGCATCTGAGGCTCAGATGAACAAATGCATGGCAGAGAATGCATGTTGAAGAAATTCCAAATTTCTTCGGCTATTGTTACCAGGGAACTCCTTCTCCTCCCCCCCGCCCCCCACCATGTCAGTTTTTACAACCTGACCCTATAACTAGAGAATACTATTCTTCAATATTCAATGGTCTTCTTTAAAACATGTGGAGTGAGGAGAGCCAAAAAACACAGATGCTTCCCCTCACCTTGAACACTTCTGGGGAGGGAACCTATCCCAGGACTGAAACGGAAAACACACAGCAAGAAAGCAAAGATCTGGAGGAACCAAGGAAATGCTTGTAAACATGTTCCTACAATGCTTGCAGAAGAGTGATTGAGAATGCTGAGAGTCAGAGGAGCACAGGGAAACATAGCTGGAACTAGAATTTGACTTACAAGATGCTTAGCAATGAGTTCTGAAGGATGGGCAGAAGCAGAAGCAAACACCCAGGGATGAGGAAGCGAAGATCAATGAAAGTCATTATCCTGAGAGAGATCTTGGATGAGAAGGAAACAAAGTAAGAGACAGTACAGTAGCAAAAGGGTACAAGACACATACACACATCTACCACAAAAGGATCTTTGCAATACCACAGACCTGCAAATATGCCATCCAGGCTGAAGGAAATAGACCAAAACAGGGGCAATGGTTGAAGACACAGAGAAGATAAAAGAATAAAAACAAGAAGGAAAGCAGGGTATTTGACTTTACAGACATGGTCATAAATCACAGCCCAAATAAAGATACCTTGAAGGAGACAGGAAGAAGGAAGGTAAGGAAAGAAATAGTAAATAAATCTTTACCTCTCATCTGATGAGGTAGAGAAGTCATTAATACACTGACCCAGGGCTTCTGAGGCTGGTGCAAACAAAGGTGATGTTATAGAATCGAGAGTAGGTGGCCCAAGTCCAGCACAATGCCTGATATATAGTGGGCACTTAATAATAGGTTTCAATGAGTGGAGAATGCTGGGAAGAAGACTAGGAAAGACAGATTAACCGATGTTGGAAGGATACACCGAGTTGGAAGGATACATAGAAGCCTCCTGTGAAGTTTTTGAAGCAAAATGAAGATGAGAAAAAGTCAACTGAGTTTAGAATGCCCAGAATCTCTCGGTTAAAGAAGCTCCTACTTCTTGCTTCCATTCCTCACCCAAGTCATCAGGCCATACAGAAGTCTCCCGGTCCTCCTCTTACAGCCCCCACCTTCCTTTCAGCTCAGGTTTTATAACCCTTCCTTGGCTGTCTCGCTCATTAATAATGTACACAATTGTGTGATGGTGGCTCACAAACTACATGGGCCATAAAATCTACAAAATATTGGCTCTTTGGGTTGAGTAGGTCTGAGTTTGCCAACTTTTTCCACTCTAAATAACTTAGCTCCAAGGTTGGCAGCCTCAAATAGGGTTTCTTTATTTTTTAATGACCCTTCGAGAATCCTGGCTTGCCGTTTCCAATTCTCCTTCATGTTCTATTCCCCATCTCTTTCCACTCCATCACTCCCCACCCCCTCAACAACCTCATATCTTTTTACTGTCTGTTTACTAATATCTTGTGCATGGTTCAAGTCACTAGGAAGCAGTGGGAACACGACATTGTAGGAAATAGTGTCGTTGAGGAGAGGCAATAGTTAGGAAGCATGGGCCAGACAGATTGAGTGCCTTATAAACTTTATTCCCTATCATCTCAGTACGCGGCATACAGCAGGCACTCAATATGTACTGAGTGAGGAGTGTCTTGTATGCATCCAAAATGTCCAGTATCCTCAACATCCTGTATTCCAAAATATGATGGATCCCTGAACAACAGGGTTTGGAATGGACCAGTGCGCTTGTAGGTGGATTGGGAACAGGCATATGCAACAGTGTGAAAGGACATCTCGCACACATCCTAGAACCTAGATGTAGAGTAAGAAAAATGTGTGTCACAAAGGCACAAAATATATGTAGAGAATATGATTTATCAATTACTACAAAAAGATGCACGCAAATTAGCTAGGTGCTGATGGTTCATGCCTGGAATCCTAGCTACTCAGGAGGCTAAGATCTGAGGACTGGGGTTCCAAACCAGCCCAGGAAGAAACTCATGAAACTGTCATCTCCAATTAATCACCAGAAAAAGTGTAAGTGAAGGCATGGTTCAAATGGTAGAACACCAGCCTTGAGAAGAAAGGAAACAAAGGAAAAAGCCATATCAGAATGGGAGACCCTGAGTTTAAGCACATACACACACATATATATATACACACACACATACACATATATACACATACACACACAAACATACACACACACAGATGCACACACAAATCTACCATGGAAGGTTAAATGTATCACAGCTTAGGCACACACATCCAGACCATACAGAAGGCCATCAGCAGTTGAGAGAAGCATAAATAAATGTAAAGAGGCAAAGTTAAACCATAGCTGCAAAGATCTAACTGCAGTTCATGATTTTATACCAACAATGAGCTCTTGGTGCTGGGTTCCCACAAAACACACAAGCTGTTCATATCTCTGATCAATTGTGTTACACGGTCAGAAGATACCACTTGCAGTTCTCAAGTCTCTTCTGCTGTGTCTAATGTACACAACCTACAAAATGTGTTGCTCCTCCATGAAGAATTACCAAGGCCAGACCTGACCAGGCACAACCTAAAGGTCCCCCCCGCCTTATCTAATGACAAGAAAAGAACAAAGGCTGGAAGACCTACAGTGCCATACTGTGCCTGTTGACTATCTAGTACAGCCATTCACTCTAAACGGGCAGCTTTGACATCTCTTTGGGGTAGCAACAAACGAGGGATTTTTTTTTTGAAAGCCTAGTTTTTCTCCATGCAACTAACAAGATTTTTTTCATTGTTTTATATATAGTCAAGTGTAGATTTCTTAAGAACTTCATATTTAATGTCTAGAGTTTATAGACTCTCTCTCTCTCTCTCTCTCTCTCTCTCTCTCTCTCTCTCTCTCTTTCTCTCTCTCTCTATCTCTCTCTCTCTCTCTCTCCCCCCCAGGACCCTTTATCACTCAGAAAAACACAAGCTTATAAATTGAAATTTTTAAGCCCACAAGTTACAAGGTCCTGTGAATAAAAAAATCTTAATTTTTCAAGAAAGGAAGAAGGAGATGGGGGGAGAAACAGACAGAGACAGAAAGAAAGGAGAAGGAGGAAAATGGAAGAGGTGGAGGTAGAGAACAAGGAAGAGGAAGAAGGAGAAAAAGAGGAGGGGCAACAGCAGCCAGGATTATTCATCACAGCCAAGTATGGAATCAGCCCAGTTCCAGATGTCTCTCAATGGATGCATAGATCAAGAAAATGTATATATATACACAATGGAGTTGTACTCATCCATTAGAAAGAAAGGCATTGTATCATTTGTGAAGAAACAGAAAGATCTGGAAAAATGATTTGAAATAAAGTAAGTCAGCTCAGAGAGGCAAAGGATGGGAAGTTTTTGCTTATACATGGAAGCCAGATTTAACTTATGAACTGATAAGTAAAGACACTGGGTGTTATGCAAGCATATACAAATATGTGAATTAAATACGGTGGATTCAAGGGAGAACTCAAATAGCGTAATTTCTTAGAAAGGCAAAGTTCAACAAAATAAACACCAGGAAGTGAATACTTGACAGGGATAGAGTGGGGTCAAGGGGAAAGGGGCAGATGAATGAAGAGAAGAGGGGGAGAATGTAGTCAAGAATCCAAAGTATAGCCTATAAAACTAAGACAGGAGAGAGGGTGAGTTTGGAAGGGAGGGATGGCTAAGAATATTGAAAGGGGTAACAGTGACCAAAATTGCTTTGTAATATGGCAACTCCTTCATACAAATAAACAAAAATAGAACTGCACTGGAGGAGGAGGAGGAGGAGGAGGAGGTGAAGGAGGAAGAGGAGGAAGAGGAAGAAGAGGAGGAGGAGGAGGAGGAGAGAGAGGGGGAGGAACAAGAGACGGAGGGGGCAGAGGAGGAGGGATGGGAAAACAGGTGAGGGAAGGAAAGGAAAAAGGGAAGAGGAAGGGAGAGATGGAAAGTAGGAGGATGGAAGCAAAGCCTTGGTTCCTGGAGGAAATACTTTACAAAGCTGGGAGAACCATCCCCTCTCTAGAAAGGTGGTTTAATTAAGCAGTAGTGAAGTAACTTCCTACCACCCCTTCTCTAAATTAACCCCAAAGCCAGGTGCATTCAAGCTTCCCTACACTTTTCCTGCATAGCACTTGGCACAACTTCCATTTCTCCCGCATGGCACACCCACGTCTGGGTGATTCCTTCTAAGTGCTTGTTCCCCTAGCAAACAGGCAACCCCAACAAGGGACGGACCACATCTCCTCCGATCCCTGTTTTAACGACACAAAATAGGTCCTCGTTTCCTAAATGCACCTAAATGCACTTAAATAGTTTCTAAGTGTACCCCACCCACCCACCACCAGTTATTGTTTCAAAACACTTTTCTGCTAGGTGTTTTAGATTTTTCAAGAAAACTCAAAAGTAAAACATCATTCACCTAGAGAAACAAGTCTAAAT